ACATGACAGGAAGTGACTGTTGCCAGAGCTACACAAGGAAGTTACAGCAAGATATGTTCACCGTAACACACATATTAGTTTCCCTTTAACCTGAACTGTCTGAGTTCATGTCTTCTCTTATGCTCATGAGTTTGTTAATTTATCGGCAGGGGAAGCTTTATTTCGTGTTGAGTACTTTATATTTGGAGATTAATTGTTTCCATAATTAAGGTCTGACCTCACAAGAAGCAACAAGGAGGCCAGTCACTCACAGAGTACAGGGCAGGGAACAGCCCCTGGGGCCTTGTGGCAGAAATAGTGGGAGAGGCAGTACAGGGGACGTCACATCTGTCATGCATAATATGACCTCTGCACTCCCTCCTAATATAAATCACCTTAAAACACTCTTTATCTCAGATGCACAGCAGCAAGCCAAGACAGTAAATTGGGGTCAGGGTGTGGTGGCTCAGTATTGTGTTGTACTGTTTTGCATTGTAATAGGTTGAATGACTGTACCCTGGAGATTCCCGTTTGCTCTTTTTCTCTCTCACTCTCTTTCTCTCTCCAAGCTAATTTTTTTCCAGCTGCTGGTGACATTACCATCATAACTTTGGTTGATACTTTGGAAAGTTAGTGAAATTGCACGACTCTCTGTAGAAGGACCACTTTAATCTGGATATCACATCTTCTTTTACACCTAAAATTTGCATCTTCAATATACCGTGGGTATAGAAAAAAATCACCCTCCTTTAAAATAATCACATTTTGTTGCTTTGCAGTCTGAAATGAAGACTTACACAGTTTTTGTTTTATCCAACTGTATTTACTCAGTGCAACTTATAACGTCCAAGTTAAATATATAACACCAACATATCAGAAAAAGATAACTCTGAAGCAGTTGCAGGAATTTATGACAAAGAGTGGTCATTGTGTGCATGTGACAACAATATCACAAATTCTCCACAAATGTGGCTTGTATGGGAGGGTTGCAAGAAAAAAGCCACCCCTCAAGAAAGGCCACATGCAGTCAGACTGAGCTTTGCCAAAACACACCTTAAAAGATTCTGAGGCAGATGAGACTAACATTGAATTATTTGGTCTCAACACCAAACCATACGTCTGGCAGAAACCCAGTACAGCTTAACATCCAAATAACAGCATTCCTGCAGTAAAGCATGGAGCTGGTAATATCCTGTTATGGGTTGTTTCTCTGCAGCAGGGACTGGAGCACTTGTCAGGACAGAAGGAAAAATGGATGGGGCAAAATACCATCAAATTATTGAGGAAAATCTGCTGCCCTCTGCCAGAAAGATGTCAATGGTAAGAAGGTTTACCTTCCAACATGACAATGACCCAAAGCACACAGCAAAACTGAGCACACAGTGGTTGAAGGAGAAAACGGTGAATGTCCTTGCATGGCCTAGTCAGAGCCCAGACTTAGGCCCCGTCCACACAGAGACGCATTTAGCTGTATGCGTAAAAAATTTGTATCGTATCAGCGTTTAGTCCTGACAGATCCAGCGTTTTGGGAGCCTGAAACCGGATTCCAGAGAGGATAAATCTGAAAAGGACACCCTTGCGTTTTCGTGTGTACAGCCAATCCGTATATTTTGTGAAACGATGATGTCATCACCCCACTTCTCGATCCTAGTCAGACACCGCTACATCACGTAACTCACGTAACAACAACAGCGGACTACATGCTTGTGTTCGTTCTACAGAAGATACTGAGCCTATTAGCTTTACTAAAGAAAAATAAAAAAAATTAGTTTAAAAGCAAAAATGTTTGTATACAGCGTGCAAGGTTTATGCGCATGCTCCAAGTCTTCTCCTCCATTTTTAATGTATCTGTGGCAGAATTATAGCGACACATACTGGTCTGGCATAAATACTACATCGTTTTAAGTCGGTTTCAATGGTTTCGTGTGTATGGAATTTTTTTTTTTAGAGCAAGGGGGAAAAAAAAAAGATTGGATAAGGAAAGCTCTGGCTTCGTGTGGATGTGGCCTTAAACCCCATCGAAAATCTGTGGAATGACTTGAAGACTGCAGTCCACAAACGGTCACCATCAAATTGAACTGAAGTTGAGCAGTTCTGTAAAGAAGAGTGGGCAAATATTGCAAAGTCTAGATGTGCAAAGTTAGTAGAGAAATATCCCAACAGACTAAAGGCTGTAATTAAAGCAAAAGGTGGTTCAACAAAATACTGACACAATGGGGTGATCCTTTTTCCGACTCTGTGATTCTGTTTTTTTATTTAAATTTTTTTCTGATATGTTGGTTTTATATATTTCACTTGGATGTTATAAGTTAAGAGTAAGAGTAAATACAGCTGGATAAAACAAAAACTGTGTCCATCTTCATTTCAGGCTGCAAAGCAACAAAATGTGATTATTTTAAAGGGGGGTGATTCATTTCTATACCCACTGTAACCAGTATTCAATTCCGTTTCAAGTGCTTTATTGGCCCAATTGTTTTAAAGACAAAGCCAAAGCATCAATACAAAATAAGCTGTCAGTTATACAGCATTACCCTGGGCAGCTGTCATTATTCAGAAATATTTCATTGCTGAATGCGACAAATGACCAATTGGAATCAAGTATTCCAAGAATATTGAACACTGAACACAATTTCAAAACACTGTTTTGTACACATATAAACGGACAACTAGTAAACATGGTGTCCATTGGTCATTTTTTCTGGGGGTAGTCTATATAAACTGATATTCTGTCACCTTTTGTCATGGTGATGTAAGTTAACAAGTCAAGCTCAAAGTCAGCTGAATGGCAGTGTAGTGAAAAGCCATAACCCAAAACTGAAAAGAGGAATTACTCTGTGCCTGTAAGAATGCTGGGTAATGAATAGAGAGAATGTATGTTTGATGTGGAGTGAAGTCCCTACCACCAGTACAAGAACTGCTTGTGTCTATTTAGTTTATATATTGTGTTTCTCTTTTTGAACTTTTTTTAATGACATAATAACACTACAGTGACATTGAGGGCTAAATATCGAACTTTAGGTCAACAGTTTTTGCCCACCAGGAATGAGGGGAGTGTATGTATGCTAGAAACGGTTGGACAATTGCATACACCCTTGTTCAGAAACGCTTGCTTAATTTTCAAGAAGATGTTTCACAAGTCTGAGCTTCTAGCGGTTAGTTGAATGCAACCTGTTGATATCATCAATGTTACATTACAGTTGTACTGTGGTAAATATAGCTTTGTGTATCTCTGGATCAGTTTCGTTCATTGTTTATATCATGGTGTTTAATGATTGTGAACCTTTTTAGGATTTAGTTTTGGTATGCAAGCACTGTTTATAGTCACAATCACACCCACAGAAGGGGAAAAAGCAGGGCTAAAAGCTTTCCAGCTTTTATTTTATTTTCACGTCCATATATCAAATAAATTGGGATGAGCTTTAACTTAATTGTGTTTTAATTGATTTGAAAAATTATTATTCTTTATATATATTACAATATTTATTTAATTAAAAAAAATTATATATATATATATATATATATATATATTTTTTTTTTTTCTTAATTAAATATTTTAAGAACATTCCGTTACATCTCTGGCTCAGAAAATTCCCAGTATCTGAAAATGAATCATGAAAATATAAATAAATTGTCCCAGTATCGCTTCAGGGAGCCAGTAATGATGAGTCAATAGCTGCAGGGAGAAAATACAAGAGTGTGTTTGTTTATTTGTTTGTGTGTGGATCCATCCTACTGGGCCTGTTTGGACCGGAACCAGACCTTAGCGTACTTCGACCAGTAACCAGTGACCTCGTGCACACTCTGGGGAACGTTCAACTCAGCAACTTCATCCGCACTGTCACACACCATGGTGGGAGGGGGACAAGAGTACAGGAAAGCGAAAGATGATGAAGAAAAGAGAAAGGGAGGGAGCCCTCGGCTATAGAGCAAGTATTTACAGTCCAGATCTGTTTTGTTTATTGTTGAAGTTTACAAGCACAGTCATCCAACCACTGCCCCAGCTCATTTACTCAGCTATTCTCTTTACGAGCCCGGGATCATGTTTGACTCTCCTTCCAGAACACATGAAGCAGAAGTTTATCTAAACTTAGAAGAGATGTGTGAATCCTGAAGTGTTGAGTGAATAAAGTTAAAGTTCACTCATGATTTATGATCGCTTCTCCACTTCAGTGACAATATCCTTTACTTTGTCAGTGTGTATGTGTGTGTGATGTGTCAGGGATTCTCTGAACCTCTGTTCAGTGTTATTCCATTCCCGATTACTCTTAAAGACCCCATGAAATCACTTCAAGAGCACAGTTTTCTATTACGTGCTGCTGATATATTTTCCTGAAACAGACAAGACATTAAATACTCTTCCTGTAAGTTGTAAAAACAAATGCACAGCACAGCTAAGAGCCATGATTTGCTACTTCCTAATTGGTGACAGGTGGTATTGGGGGGGAGGGGCATTCTCACTTTCAAGATAATCTGATTGGACAGAAATATGTGCCTTGCAGAATGAGTCATCAATATTTTATTCATCAATACTTTTCCGTTTTTTTTTAATGTCTGCCATGTGACAATGTCAATGTTTATGAGTACACTGTAGAGAGTATAGCGTATTTGGCATTGGATTTGAGATAGCAAACCACAAAACTTTTGATTTGACATGTAGGATGTATGCATGTCTCCACTGACATTAATTCAGATTTACTGAATAATTTTAATGAGGAAATGAAAGTAAATGACAAACCTATTATTGCTCATTAGTGGGGTTAACTTGAACCATTAAACTTTGCAGCATAACTCATTCTGCAGTATGACAGAGGATTAGACAAGTAAATAAAAATAAATACGACTGTTTATTGAGGGGGTGAATTATATACTTGTTTTTTAATTGTTTAGCTTATTTAATGCTTGTTCTGTCCAAGTCATTTTGAGGCCCACTATTGGGCTCCAGTTCTCTGGTTGAAAACCACAGAGAATATTTATTATTATTTATTCATGTTTTTGTATTCATCTTTTTTTTTTTCTTCTAGGAAGTGGAAGTCCTAGACATCAGTCAAATCAGGGACACCAGGACAGGGAGGTTTGCCAGGTTTCCAAAGGTACGCTTTTATGTGTGCCTGTTGGAAAGAGTCAGTATGAAGGTTATGTTTGGAAAGGTTCATACTGTCAGAATAGTACACGTGGATGTTAAGGTTTGCCTGCGTTTGTAGGACCCACGTTTACGTGAGACATTGGGTTTGATCAAAGGAGATTCCTACTCCGAATCAAAGCTGCTAACTATCGTCTTCGGCAATGACCTGGTCAACCTCTACTTCCTCAACTTCCAAGCTGTGCAGGAGGGCTATTGCAAGGTAACCACGACGACCGGCCCGTCACATAGTTACCATGTCCATGCTGTCCCTCCCTCTATATGCGTCCTGCTTTTTCGCTTTCTACCTTTGCAAGTGTGCACTCTGACTGAACTATATTAGATGACTCTCATTTTATATTTTTCTTCCCTCTCTCTTTAAAAGCTTAACACATGTGAAGTTTGATTGATTTATAGGGATTGTCATATTTACATAATGCATGTATGAGTTCATTTATGCACGTTCATTTGGCGTTATGATTGCGTTTCCAGGTGTGGACTGATGAGCTGTTTAAACTTGCTACAAACATACTGTCCCAGAATGCTTCCCGCAACACCTTCTTATTCAAAGCGTGAGTACTTTGTGTGTCTGAAACCGTTGTTTAAGGCCAAGTGACATGTTAGTGTTGCAAAAATACACAAAAGTCTCAGTCCACTTCACTGAACTTCATATCACACAGTTGCTTGTGATGAATTCTTTTAATTGATGTTTTTGAAAATGTGGCATCTCACAACGCAACTTGATTTCTCACAATTGTGACTAGATCTCGAAATGTGACGTTTATATCTCGTTGCTACTTTATATATTTCAAATGCTACTGCCTTTCCTTTTCTCTGTGACTTTTGGCTTTACATATCGAAATTGCAACCTCATGTCTAAAAGTAAGACTTGTTGCAGCTTTATTTCTCATAATTGTGCTTTATTATGTGACCTATTATCTCACAATTTGACTTTGACTCTTGAGTCTTCTCAACTCAAGCCTCATAAGTTCAAGCCAGTTTTCATGTATAACTTTTGGTTCAGCATTGGTTTTGTAACTGATGGTCGTGTTAATTCACCCAAAATGAAATTGAAAGCTCTGGTCCCCAGTCATGGATGAACGAAAGTCATAAAGACATGATTGTTTGTAAGTGACACCGTTTTCAATTTTGGGTGAACTATCCATGTTAAATCCTCGCTTCCAAGCAGGATTTTGGGTCAGCTCCATACCAACCAAAATAAAATACGCCTTATTGTCATAGTCTGTGCCTCAGTCTGAGGCAGTGCAGATGTCAGGTGATTGTTGTTCTAAGAGTCTGTAGTGTTATTCACATTAAGATTGTGTTAGATTTATTAGTGCAAATAATCAGTGTAGACTAATGAGTGAAAATGAAAGATAACGAAACCAACATGATGCGGTCATCTACCTCTTTTAGTCTTTTTGTGTGTGTGTCTTTTTTCATAGTTACACCAAGCTGAAGCTGCAGGTAAATCAGGATGGGAGAATCCCAGTGAAGACGTGAGTAAACACAAGCTGTCTTACTCAAACATGCTATGTTTCCAGTTCTTCAGGGCTTTCATTGCTAATTTGCCACTTCTTCTTTCATCATTCCTTTCACTTCTTTTCTTTTTCTTTCACTTTCACTTCTCTCAGCATCCTGAAAATGTTCTCAGATAAGAAACGTGTGGAGATGGCACTGGAGCACTGCGGTCTGGTTAATAACAGGGTAATCAGTCGTGCACCAATCACCAGTTATTAAACGTTTAACCATGCAGTTTTATCCTTTACTGTCTGCTGTGCTTCCATGAGACATGTTTGTTTCTGTGTCCTTTTCTTTTGTTCTTTCAATATAAATGCTTTGTTTTTCAATTAACCCACACTTGATTTCTCTTGTTGCGTCTCCCTTTGTCTTCACATGTCACATGTTCCATAGAAATTTTTTTCTTTGCCACTCCATGGTGATCTGCAACCAGTCCTTTTATGGTTCAGTTTAGACACAGAGGAGCTGGTCTTAGATCAGCACATGTCCACATGACACGCTGTTTACTGAGTTACACTGCCCCCTGCTGGTTGAGCTTCAGCCATGTTGACCCCTGGTGTGGAATATCAGAAACCACAAAAACAAGCACAACTCACTACATATGCAGAACAAACGTTTACTTCAGATTGCAGCATGCCCCTAATTGCCATGCGCTGTGCTAGGTACTGTCCTGTGTGTGATGCAAATATGGGTCTTGCTGTAGGACTCATTCCTGCATTTTATTTTCATAACGTTGTGAACAAATTTGCCTGTAGTACATCAAAGTCTTTAATTATTTCAAAACGGCAAGATAAATCCTTTTTGTCCATGGTAATATTCCCTTTTAAAATACACTGCAGACCCAAATTCACTAAAAATTGTTATTAAAATGTTCCTCGACTTTTAGTTTTAAGAATAAAATTGCTGTCATTGAAACATTGCAGGTTAAGGATTCATATTTTCATTTTAATTCATTCATTCGTTCGTTCGTCAGGCTGATGGTATAAAGCCAGATTGCTTCACCTGGGAAATGTTCCAGAACTTTCTCAACAAACTAAGTCCCAGACCAGAAGTGGAGCGTATCTTCGTGGAGCTGTGAGTGAACATAGTCCAACAGCAATGACAGATACAGAGCCCTCAAAATTTGGATACTTGGCCACATTTGTAAATGTATGAATGCTATTCATATATCAATCAAATAGCATTTATATTGACGAAAAATAGCCTGCGCACACTTTTCATGCAACCATTTCACAAAAAAGTTTGTTAGGTTTGTTCATTTCAAAATAATATATATGCTATTCAAAAATAATTAAAAAATGTATAGCAATAGTTGAATATGTCCATGTGAAAAAGGTCCAGAAAATGTAAATGCTACCAACACTTTTTCTGATGATATTTATACATTCTTAAGTGTGTCCAAATATGTTTTGGGGTTACTTTATGTCTTAACAATTATGTAAAGATGCTGTGCAAAGCGTTTTTGACATGTTTAACTGTGTGTGTATGCAGTGGCTCCAAAGGGAAGCCCTTCCTGTCTCTGGATCAGTTGATGGACTTTATAAATCGCAAACAGAGAGATTCTCGACTAAATGAGGTTCTTTACCCACCGCTCAAGCGAGATCAGGTCCACCAGCTCATGGAGAGATATGAGACCAACGCCAGCCAGCTGGAGAGAGGTACAAATGCACACTCACACATACGTTTAGACATGGTGACGATGAGACTGATGGTGGCTTGTTTCACATGCCCATGTGTGAGCAGATCAGATCTCCCTGATGGGCTTTGCAAAGTATCTTGGTGGGGAGGAGAACTCTGTGGTTCCTCCTGAGAGGTTGGACCTCATCGATGATATGAACCAACCCCTGTCCCACTATTTCATCAACTCTTCACACAACACATACCTCACAGGTACACTTACACACTCTAATAGACACAAATATGGTAATAAACAGACTCCCGTAACCTGTCTGTGCTTTCCCCCTTCAGTGGGTCAGTTGACGGGCATGTCATCAGTGGAGATGTACAGGCAGGTGTTGCTGACAGGATGCCGCTGTATAGAGCTGGACTGCTGGAAGGGCCGCCCACCTGAGGAAGAGCCAATCATCACGCACGGTTTTACCATGACAACAGAGATTTCATTCAAGGTGTGTTTATGGCCCCATCTCAGTGTCTTTTTGGTGCGGTCACATTTACCATTGTTCTGCAGATTTTCATGGGCGAAATACAGTAATTTCAGTAGGAATCCTTGCGATCTAGAAGGGAAGAAGATTTCCCCATATAGATTTAACGGGTTCAAGTTGGTCACATGGATTTGCCATGTTGACCAACAGAAAGCTGCTTGGTTTGAAAGTGACTTCTGGTGAGCTGTGCTCCATACACCGTTACACTATGGACAATAGACAAAGGAACTTTTTAAGCCTGCAAAATTTTGCACCTTTGATCTCAAATGCAAGCGGATCACATAAACTGCACACACACTGAACTGCAATGAGAGATTGTGTGTGTAATTTTTAAATCTTTGCGTTTTTAGGAAGTAATTGAGGCCATCGCTGAAAGTGCGTTCAAGACATCTCCCTACCCTCTTATCCTGTCCTTTGAAAATCATGTAGACTCGTAAGTATAAGTGTGTGGATAATGCATATTTCTTGTTTGTTTTTGTAAATATTTCATCTTGATTATTATCTGGTCTTTTAGGGCAAAGCAGCAGGCTAAAATGGCTGAGTACTGTCGCACTATGTTCGGGGACGCTCTGCTCATTGAACCCCTGGAGAAATATCCAGTGAGTTCTTCCCAAAAAGGGCTGCTGATCAAACTCCAACTGTCAAAAATGATAAAACTAAATTTTAGTCAAATCGTTTTTTTTAAATAAAATCTATCTCTCCATCTATCTGCCTTGTCTATCTGTCACCTTAAAACTTTCAAAGGTTTTAAAATCATTTTAAAATTTCAATACAAGTTTTTAAAGCCAACATCAAAGTTTGTAATGCTAAACTTTACTTTAGTTAAGGATGGTGTACAGTCATTTGGCCGTTATCGCAGAATAAACGTAGGGTAATCTGGGCCCCAGTAAAAGTGAAGGGGTCTTGTATCAAAAACAGAATGAAACAGAAAGTTTGAAACAGAGTTGTTGTTTCTCTTGAAACAGAGTTTGTTTCCCACTTATTACATGGCTACTTACCAGATAAAAGAATAAATGAAAGTGTTAATTTGACCTGAAATCATTGCTTTATTGTGAAAAGAAAGAGACCAATGTAGTGATATAACAGCAGTGTAGGACATTGACTATCTAGGAGAGCTGTTAATCATACAGTTTTGGTCATTACAAAACTGTTTGACCACAGAATGCAGTTATTTGGCAATAATTTTTATATTTTTAGTTTGAGATTAGATTTTTATGTTTTGCAATCTTGTTTTTACAGCTGGATCCTGGTCAGCAACTGCCAAGCCCCCAGGAACTCATGGGGAAGATCTTGATCAAGAACAAGAAGAAACATCACCACAGGGCCTCTAACGGTGGGAGCATCAGACGCAAGGACGGGACAGACGAACAGTCCTCACCCTTGAATGGTGTGTACGCACACTAAACCCCAGCCTGATCCACTCTAGCACAAAAGTGACTGTGATTGAAATGGTTGGCAGTTCAATTACAAAACAATTTACGACAATAATTTAAGTATGTATACTGTAGCAGCTTGTGTCAAGATGGGGTTTCATCACACATTGGGGCCATAAAAAGAGAGACATAAGACAGTGAAATGAAAAAATTGCAAGGTCTAGAGATGCATTTTTTTAAATGGGGCCATTACATGAGAAATAAAATTTTCTTAGATTTTTTTGACATATAATTAAAATCCTCTCCAGTACAAAATGTATTTATTTTATTTATATAATCATGCTTTAAAAAATATCTAATTTAGGTGTTGTGAGATTTGTAACATCACATGGACATGGACGTCAACGAATAGTTATACATCATCGCACCTTTGCTTTGACCCCGTCCACTGACGTTCAGTCGCTTAATGCCTGACTCCTGTACACCAAACATTTGTGGCTCATTTGAGAGAGGGACAGAATGAAATCATTTTTAAAAATCCATGTCATGACCCCTTTAAAAGTTAAACTTGTTTTAACTTGAATAAGTGAAAAGTAGTATAGTGGAATGCAAAAACATCATCTTTGTGAACGGTCTCTTAGAGTGCATGTCAGTGTTTCATCCATCAGCATTTAGCATCGTTGCATTGTCCTGCCTTTGTCCCAACAACAAGTGTAACTTGTTCAAATCAGCCATTTGTTTAATGAGTCTCAAACCCATGATGTATCAATCTGAATCAGTCTGACAGCAAGCTCACTCACTGAATGGTGAAAAAAAAAAGACACTTTACTGTGAACTTTTTTGTCTTTTCTAGTATTACACAGTCTTCAACAACCGTTTCACATCGGATCTTTTATGACAACGCATAAAAGATCATTTTTAGTTAATAACTTTTCATTTCAATTCTCATGGGCCATTTTATTGCACGTCTCTCTCTCATATCTGCAAGATTAGAGAGTTAGCTCATGAACCAAGTGTCATCGTTTACTCCATGACTTCATGTCGTTCCAAACCTGTTTGACTTTTTTTCTTGGCTGTAAATTGTGACATTTACAACTTTGCATTCAAACCCATTCATTATGAGATTTGTGTTTAGATTGTCCATTGTCTAATGGGGAGGTGGGCCAGCTCATGTCCAATGGGGGCGAGAAGCTTGCAGAGAGGATGGACAAAGATCTTGATATCCGCAAGTCTATTGGTGGGTTTGTGCCTAGTTGACATGAAGTCTCAACCAATCAGGTTGAAGACTGATGTCACTTAGGCACCAGTATGGACGCTCATGGTCAATTCATTTATGGTGTATATTCAATTTTCTGTGTCTTTGTGTGTGTATTATTTTTTTATATTAATTTCTAGACCGGGGAGATGGAGAGAGTGATGAAGAGGAGGAAGAGGAACCCATTCCAGATCCAAAGAAACACAACAACACTGATGAGGTAACTACTGTCATTCTGTCCTTTTCACTATTCTTTTCTCTGTCTCTGTCTCTGTCTCTGTCTCTCTTTCTATCATGACACTTGACATATCTCTCTGTTTCAGGGTACTGCATACAGTGAGGTGAACGCTACAGAGGAGATGTCTACATTGGTCAACTACATAGAACCTGTCAAATTCAAGTCCTTTGAGGCGGCATCCAGTGAGTAATGATAACTTTCACATCATAGCCATTACTATGCTGTATTCTATGGCTGAAACCAATACCGTGTTGACCAATTAGAAGCCAGGACAGAGTCATCTGTCCATTTTATAAAATATTTTTTCTTAATCTAGACATGATAGTCACGTTTAGTTTAGAATACAGAATTTAACATTGATCTCTCTCTCTCTTTTCAGAGAGGAATAAGTATTTTGAGATGTCATCTTTTGTGGAGACCAAAGGCATGGACACATTGAAGAACTCTCCCATGGAGTTTGTTGAGTATCCTTCCGCAGCCTCAGTCAGCAGATAATGATAATGTTTACCTACATATATACCTACTTTTTGTGAAGAAAAATACTTTTGAATGTGTAGCAGCAGAGCAGGCAAATTTTGGGACATACTACAACGTCATAATAACATCTTTTGGTTACACTTTACTTGAAGGGGTGTGCATAAGACTGACATGACACCTTCATAATCATGACATGACACCTACATAATCATGACATGACACGTCATGAATATGAAGGTTTTTTTTTATGCATGTTTATGACAACTGTCATTTAAGTGTCATTCGCTCAGTTATGTAATTTTTAATGCAAAGATGACATTGTTTGAAATGTCTTTGTTATGGGCTATGGCTAGGGGGAGGGTTAGGTTAGGGTTAGGTCAAATAATGTCATATTTGCATTAAAAATAACATAACTGAGCGAATGACACTTAAATGACAGTTGTCATAAACATGCATAAAACCTCCTTCATATTCATGACATGTGTCATGTCATGATTATGAAGGTGTCATGTCAGTCTTATGCACACCCCTTCAAGTAAAGTGTTACCCATCTTTTTTTATATATATTAGTGTCTTTTTGCATAGTTATGTGCATCATGTTACTGTAAACTTGCTTGTCAATCGTCTTGTCACAGTTAAAGGGATAGTTCACCCTCATGCCGTTTCAAACCTGTAATACCTTTGTTCATCTTCGTAACACAAATTAAAATATTTTTGATGGAATCTGAGAGCTGTCTGACCTGCATAGACAGCAATGCAACTGAAATGTTCCCAAGTCCAGAAGCGTAGCAAGGAGATCTGTAAAATAATCCATGTGACATCAGTGGTTCATCCGCAATTATACGAAGCTACGAGAATACTTTTTGGGTGCAAAAGAAAAAAAAATAACGACTTTAGTCGACAATTCGTCTCCTCTGCATCACCCTGGTGCCATTTTGGAGAATATCCGCTGGACGTAAACAGCGTATGCTGTTCAGTGTCAGCTGCGTCACACCGGATCTGTTTCCTACGTTGTTGTGATTTGATCTGAACAGAAACAGCATATCTGTGTTACGCAGCTGACACACATTTCAGTTGCGTTGCTGTCTATGCAGGGTCAGACAGCTCTCAGATTCCACCAAAAATATCTTAATTTGTGTTCCAAAGATGAACAAAGGTCTTACGGGTTTGAAACGACATGAGGGTGAGTAACTAAATAACAGAATTTTCATTTTTGGGTGAACTAACTCTTTAAGGTCCTCATATATACACTCCACAGTTTAGTTCATTTATTTGCGCTGTGCAACAGTTCTTCCTACTATATTGTATGTACAGTATTGCACATCTGCAGTGTTTTTAGTTTTAGTTTTCACCAGGTGGACTAATATTTCTGGTGGAAATTTGAAGTGCAGATCCATGCACACTCATGGAGTGTTTTTTTTTGTGTGTGTTTGTAGTTCTGATCTGAATTTTCACCAGAAATAGAAGACCATCCAGGAAACTTTGGGATACTCATTTCAACATTCTTTATTCTAAATTTGAATACTACTTAGGATGGATAATATACGAATCAGGACACAGCAATAGTTTTAGTTATATATGTTTGGTGTGTACATGTTTGCGCTTTTATATTCAAGTAATGTTGTTCTTCCTGAGCAAAATGTCTGTGTTCAGATACAATAAAAAGCAGCTGAGTCGCATCTACCCCAAAGGGACACGTGTGGACTCTAGCAACTATATGCCACAGCTCTTCTGGAACGTGGGTTGCCAAATGGTGGCATTAAACTTCCAAACTCTCGGTCAGATATGCAAACAGCACTCTGTTATTGCCTTCTTCTTTCTGTCTAGTTGTTTTTATTCATTTGTCTTAAAATAAGCTTAATTCTTCTCTTTCTCAGACTTGCCGATGCAGCTGAACATGGGGGTGTTTGAATATAACTGCCACTGTGGTTATCTGCTCAAGCCGGAGTTCATGAGACGCACGGACAAACACTTTGACCCCTTTACTATGGGCATTGTGGATGGCATCGTAGCCAACACAATTAAAATCAAGGTATTTTGTGCACATGTAGTGTGCTGTTTAAAGATATAGTAATAGTCAGTTATTTTGCTGTGTAATTTTAAATGTAATATGTACAGGCATATAATTTCTCACTTTTCCCTCCCATACACAGATCATCTCAGGTCAGTTTCTGAACGATAAGAAGGTTGGTGTTTACGTGGAGGTGGACATGTTTGGACTTCCTGCAGACACTAAAAGGAAATATCGAACGAAAACATCTAACAACAACTCTCTGGACCCTGTCTGGGATGATGAAACCTTTATGTTCAACAAGGTAACAAAAGAAGGGAGTAGTTTGTCCTAAAATGACAGTTCTGTCATGCAGAAAACTGTGGAGCTAATACTGTACTAATCTACACTTTTTTTATTAGATGAAATGCTGTTCATTTCTGTCTTTCTAGGTGGTGTTGCCCACCCTAGCATCTCTGCGAGTAGCAGTGTATGAAGAAAACGGGAAGTTTATTGGCCATCGTATCTTGCCAGTATCGGCACTGCGCCCAGGTTTGTGCCAATACGTGGCAGTGATCTAACAGACCTGTTAGTCTGATACTGTGCTGAATATCTACTCACATCTGCTATGTGTGTGTGTGTGTGTGTGTGTGTTAGGATATCACTACATCTGTCTGAAGAATGAGCTGAACCAACCGCTTTTGCTGTCATCCCTGCTTGTGTACACTGAGGCACAAGACTACATTCCCAATGAGCACCAAGGTAAGGAGACAGATCTGTGGGACTATGAATGCCATGACAATGAGTTTGTAATCTGCTACATGGACGTAATATTAACAGCTGGTGGACTATATGGCTGTGCAAATGCAAATGTTTGTGTATATATATTTTAATAAAATAAAGTAAAATAAAAAGATGGCTCATATGTCACCCAGAGTATGATTCAAACCAAAAGTCTTTTGTTTATAAGCCCTGATCTTTCCTCTCTTTAATACTCTTTGTCAACCTTTTTAGCTGAGTCTTACTGTTTTCCCTCTGTCTATCTCTTGTTTTTGTGTAGAGTATGCAGAGGCTCTGACAAACCCCATCAAACATCTCTCTCTGCTGGCCCAGAGAGAAAAGCAGCTATTAGCACTTATGGAGGATCCCACTGAGGTCAGTCATGCCTGTTTTTATGTGTGTTTGAGACTTAGATGGGTGCCATTTAGCAAATGTCTGACAGTAGCCTATATAAAATTCTGGTAACAGTGACTGTCGTCAATTTTGAATTTCTGCAACCAGTCAATCCCCTTTAGTGATCTCCCACCTGAACTTGCAACCCACTCTAAAATGAAAAAGTCTTCATTTGCTCACCTTTCTGTTGTTCCTGTTGTTTTGTTTTTGTGTGGGAAACAGACTGAAATTTAATTTGTTGTTCACTGAAAATCCTGACATCCAAGTATTCCTTCATGAGAGAAATAGCGAAGTCCTATTCCTAAGAAAATTATTCTTTTGACTCATTTTATAACTGAATCATTTGAAATCTTGAAAGCTCCCGTTTCCATTTATTATAACAACACGACGAGTGTCAAATATATTATTCAAAGTTTCTCCTTTTGTCTTCCGTGGAAGAAAGAACATGGCTTTGGAATAAAATGAGGGTGAGGGAAAATTATGAATTTTCGTTTTGGGTGAGATGTCCACATGAACTAACATCTTGCAGATATTTCAGCCATTCAGTGAATACATACTGTGAATGTGTGTGTGTGTGTGTGTGTGTGTGTGTGTGTGTGTGTGTGTGTGTGTCTGCAGGGTGGACCTGTGAAACAAGAGGAAGGAGACAAGTTTGACTCTGGCTTTGTGACCTCTGTTGACCCTATCTGCCCTCTGCCGTCTCCAATAATTCCTTCTGTGGTCACCGAGGTCCTGAACCCTCCTGCATCAGGTTTGGTCTAACCTCTGAAACAGTCACTTTTTCCTGCTGTCTTTCTCTCAATCATTCTCTCACCGTGCATGTGTGCGTTTTGGCCATAATGTTACAGTCGTTTAATTTCTCTACTGATGTCTACTAGGGGTGTAATGGTTCTCTGTAAAAAAATAAATAAAATAAAAATAGCACAACAAATAAAAAACAAACATATGCATTTGTGCTGTGATAAACAACGATTAACAAAGCATATGGATGATCTGTTTTGGTGAAGACATTTGGAGTGACAACTTGCACTAATGCACAGTGCATGGTTCATCTGTGACGTTACTGCATCCATTCATCATTCTGCAAGTTCACAGCCAAACCATTTCATGCCACTCTCGACTACAGAAACAAAGCATAGCAGAAGACGTTTGATTATTTCTTCGAAGCAGCAGCATTGTTAACAAGTGGACAACAATTAATAAGCTTTTATAAATGGCTTTTATAGGGAATTCCCTACGTTTAAATTTAGTTGTCATGTGTAATGAATAAACAAATATATTATGAAGTGTTTGTACAGTGGGGCAAATAAGTATTTGATACACTGCCGATTTTTCAAGTTTTCCCACTTACAAAGAATGGAGAGATCTGTAATTTTCATCGTGGGTACACCTCAACTGTGAGAGACCGAATAAAAAAAAAATCCAGAAAATAACATTGTATGATTTTTTTAATAATTAATTTCCATTTTATTGCATGAAATAAGTATTTGATACAATAGAAAAATAGAACTTAATATTTGGTACAGAAACCTTTGTTTACAATTACAGAGGTCAGACGCTTCCTGTAGTTCTTGACCAGGTTTGCACACACTGCAGCAGGGATTTTGGCCCACTCCTCCATACAGGTGTTCTCCAGAGAATTATTTATAGTTTATATTTCACAAGTCAGTTTGATTTATCAGCAAGCGAGTGATGATTAAACTTAAAATATATCTATATTTTTCTTTTTGAAGTTCTAAATTTACCCAGATTTTTTTTTTCTGGGAAAAACATTAGCTGTAATGAAATCATAATATAGAGTCCCTTACATTTACAGGAAAAAAAATCAGTGTTGACACTTTTTTTTTTTTGCATTTTATTTATCTTTATTTGTGAATTTACCCTGTCCTACTGCTTTTAAACTATGTTCTTGTTTATTATATTTAAGGCGCTCTTTACAGGTGCATCTCAATAAATTAGAATGTCGTGGAAAAGTTTTTTATTTCAGTAATTCAACTCAAATTGTGAAACTTGTGTATTAAATAAATTCAATGCACACAGACTGAAGTAGTTTAAGTCTTTGGTTCTTTTAATTGTGATGATTTTGGCTCACATTTAACAAAAACCCACCAATTCACTATCTAAACAAATTACAATATGGTGACATGCCAATCCCCTAATCAACTCAAAACACCTGCAAATGTTTCCTGAGCCTTCAAAATGGTCTCTCAGTTCACCTCAGCAGTGCCACAAACTGATCACCTCCATGCCACACCGAATTGAGGCAGTAATTAAAGCAAAAGGAGCCCCTACCAAGTATTGAGTACATGTACAGTAAATGAACATACATTCCAGAAGGCCAACAATTCACTAAAAAAATTTTTTTTATTGGTCTTATGAAGTGTTCTAATTTGTTGAGATTTTTGTTAAATGTGAGGCACAATTAAAAGAACCAAAGACTTAAACTACTTCAGTCTGTGTGCATTGAATTTATTTAATACACGAGTTTCACAATTTGAGTTGAATTACTGAAATTAACTTTTCCACGACATTCTAATTTATTGAGATGCACCTATATAACATTTATGTTTTTGCCACACAATGTAGAGTATACAACTGTTTATTTCATGAAAATGTTTATTTAGTCATTCAAAACAGGTTTTTACATTTAAGGCAAACTATTACCAAATATTAGTAAATTCTTGTGAAAATTTCTAATTAGACATTAAGAATACCCCCATCCTCCCGCTTTCAAACTGAACCGTACCGAAACAGTGATCTCAAAACAGCAATACATACTGAACCGTGAATCGCAATGTCTGCTTATGAATATGCATGTCATGTCCATTAAGTGACCTGAATGTTTGTGTAATATATTTTAGGCCAAAAAGAAGATTTAGTCAACAATGTTCTTAAAGGTAAGATCCACTCACCCTCATGTATGCTCATCTTCATCAGTCAATCGTCCCCTGCAAAGGGCTTGAGAGGTGTTGTAGATCATGGACAAGGTGTATGTCTGTTTGTGTTTTGCAGTAATCGAACCTCAGTCCACTGATGAGCTCAAACAGCACAACTCCTACTTGAAGCTGTTGAAGAAGCAATGCAAGGAACTCAAAGAGCTGAAAAAGAAACATCTCAAAAAGGTCAAAAGCACTCTATACTGCAACACCACTTGTGGTTATGTGTTATGTAGGGAATGTACCATCATGGTCACATTTACCCAGATATGCGCATATATTTTTAACTAGATTAAAAAAAAGGTTCAGTCCAGACCAACTTTGATGTTAGGTTGAGAAGGCCTGGCTAGAAAGGGTGTTTTTGCACATTGCTAGGCTTTGCTAGTATGTTTGAACATGTAGCTAGCATGTCTTGTAATAGTTTGTTAGGTTTTGCTACTGGTAAATAGATTAAATCAGATGGTGCAGACATATTTACCGTTTGGCAAAATTTTGCAAGCAAAATTCGGTCATTATTGTAGTCAATTATGAATTTTGCATGGGGGCAAATGATTTCACCATGCAGATTTCCCAACATCTTCAAGTTGGTCTTTCGGATTTGTTGCAGTTGTTGCATTTCGTAGCTGTATGGCTGTTTGAAGGTCTGATCATTTGCTGAATATGGAATGGTAATGCGCACAAGACCAGCTATGCAGTTTTCGAGAATGAATCAACACCTTGAAACATCATTAGTCAATTAGAATCGATTTAAGTTTGCCATTCTTTTGCCACAGCGATGTTGACTGCAATAGTACTGTGGCAAAAGGATGGCAAACTTAAATCAGAGTCATAACGCTCTGACAAAAGCTGCAGCAATGCTTTGGGCAAGCCGAGTCCCAATCCCATTCCCCTCTCTTTTGTTCAGCTGTCTCTTTTCAACAATAACTTAAAGAATGTGTTTTTGTGTGTTTCAGATGTGGGCTCTCAGTAAGGAACAAAGGACTCGCTGTAATCAGCTGAACTCTGACCTCCAGAGGAAACGGAGTCAGGTGGAGAAGCGCCTGCGTTCCAGTCTGAAGAAAAAGTGAGGACATTTTGGAGTCAACGCTGACCTTTTGACATTAATTAATGTTTGCCAGGTGGATATTGTGCTTGAGTGCTAACTGTTTGCTGTAATTCATACTATGATCATAGTATGGTCAGGATCAAGAGGTCAGGAGCTCAGAGTGGTAAAGCATCCAAACTGAAATGAATGTTCAGTCCTCATGTGTTTAGCAGAGAATAAATGAAGAGAATGAGCTCAGACCCTCTGATGGATATTTTACATTGTTTAAAGCAGGGAGGGACATCAATGTCAGAAAAGGTTGCTGGCTCTTGGTTAAAAGAACATTGGAAACAGTTCGCTTTGAATAATTTTTTTGTGATTCATTCATTCATTACTATTATTATTATTATTAAAGGGGTCATATGATGTTGCTAAAAAGAACATTATTTTGTGTATTTGGTGTAATGAAATGTGTTTATGCGGTTTAAGGTTAAAAAAACACATTATTTCCACATACTGTACATTATTGTTGCTCCTCTATGCCCCGCCTTTCTGAAACGCGTCGATTTTTACAAAGCTCATCGTTCTGAAAAGCAAGGTGTGCTCTGATTGGCCAGCTATCCAGTGTGTTGTGATTGGCCGAATACCTCAAGCATGTGATGGAAATGTTACGCCCCTTACCATACTGTGATGCCGTGTCCCGGTGCGATGAGACAAAAACAATAAAACCCATTACAAACAAGGCATTTGTTGCATCCAGTGGGGACATAATTACTGATTATAATGACTTATACTGTCTTTTTACGCGTTGGGTTGCATCGCGCCCCGTAAACATAAAACCATGTCTGCATTTGTGATCGGAGAAACGACAAACAACAAGCGCTACTCTACACTGCTCAAAACTCTTTGAATCATCAGTGGCAATGTGTTTGAATCATCAGTGGCAAGTGACGTAGACATGTGGGGGTGTGTTTAAACAAGGCGTTTTAGGAGGGCGTGGACTAGTCTTAACTTTTATGAAGAATATCTTTTTGGGTTTGAGACTTTAGTCTTTGCAACTTTAGGGATCTTATCTATTCACGAACAGCTTGTAACACTCCAAAGAGAAAGGAAAACTTGAAATCGCATCATATGACCCCTTTAAATGGGCATTTGCGTGTGTTTGGTGTTTGTGTGTGTGTAGTGGGTCAGAGGAGCCGGTGCAGAGGGAATTTAACAAGCTGAATCTGGAGCTGCAGAAACAGATGGAGCAGTTCAGAGAGGAGCACATGCTGGAGCTTCTTGCACTTAGACAGGCACAACATCAGACAGAGAAAGAGGATAAACAATTCCACCTCAAAGAGGTATGACACACAACAATATCCCAAAGACACAGTGATCACAGCTGGTCTGTAAGACACTATACACACACACACACACACACACACACACTCACTGCTAAAATGTTTTATTCTTTTGTGACTCTGTGCTTCTATGTCAGGCCAATCAGAAACTGAGGGAAGTCGCCCTAGAATGCCAAGCAACCCAGATCAAGAAACTCAAGGAAGTGTGTGACAAGTAAGACTTTTTTTGTTTGTTTCTTTGCAGGGTTCCCATGCTTCTTGAAAGTACTTGAATTTCAGACATATGGATTCAAGGCCTGGAAAGTACTTGAAAACAGACATTAGTCATTGAAAGTGCTTGAATTAAATTTGAAATCAATTTTATGGCGCCATTTCAAAAATTGTCCTATATGTTCTGTCAAAGACAACGAAACGGCACTAATGATTGGGGGTGGAGATGGAGTAGTGCGAAAAAAAACTTGTGTTGATGCGCAGTCTAGAGCCCTGAGCGGGACAGTTTTCTTAATCCCGCTCCCGCTGAATTTCTGACCGTTATCGCCCGTTCCCACAACGTGTGTGTCCCGCTCCCACAAACATTCTAATATTGTATATACAGGGATTAAAGTTTTCCATCGCTACAACGGATTTCCGTCAGTTAGAAAAAATGAGGGGAAAAGAAACACGTAGCGCATTGTTGTTGTTCTGCCGGCACACCAAAAATCATCCCCGCCACGGCTGCAGCTTCTCACTGACAACATAACGCCGCTCGCATCATTCACAGTCGGGTTATTAGCAGAGAACACAGAGCAGGTCTTGAATTTCGGCGCGGGATTGCGGCTATTAATAACAATTCTACTCATTCCCGCAGGTTCCTCCTTTATAACACGATAACAGATGACGGAACTTATCATTTGCACGTGCTTTTGAGTCTTGAGAACTCACTCGCGCGCACTCATTTTCTGTGCGCCCACAGATCGCGATAAGGAGAGTGACAGCTTTTAATAATTATTAAGGGAGTTTGCAAATGTGATATTGATTTAATACAACAGTTCAATAAACAAATACTGCCTGATTTTACTCTATTTCATCAACGAAAATAGTTCCAAATAAAGTAACAGCTCAGCCGCTGCGCATCTCTAAATGCAAACACAGAGGTGTTTCATTCATGAATGAAAGTGCATTTTTAAACAAATCTAGTGAGTCAGTGATTCATGATTACCCATTCATAAAGACAGTCACTTGCTTCATTCCTGAATGAATCAGCTGTTCGAACAAATCAATTGAATGAATGATTCCGTGATAAAATCAGTGACTTGTCGCCACCTGCTGGCGGTTTCAGTTTCATTTTTAGGTATAATTTCAGTTATTTAAATAGTTTAATATTTCTGTATTCAAAATGTTATATTTAAAACATTAATCTCCACATGAATTTAATTGCACTCATGCCACCTCTGAGCCTCATTGAACGTCTGAAAATGTACCTTCAAGCCACTTTTGTGTTCTTCTGTGCACCCTCTGTAGTACAGATAAATTTTTTATTAATACTAATTTCATATGATTGGTACCTTATTTGTCTCATTCTAATTCTTATTATATTGTTTTAAATAGAAATTTTAAAAAAGCTTATAAACATAATTTTTTTAATTTGACAGATGAAAATTATGCCATTGCAAAGGTAAAAAGAAAATACCCCTGTAATTCACTTTAAGGAGTCACATGTCACCTCATATTAGGAAGGCTAATTTTTGATCAAAATTTTTGATCATTGATCAGAAGGTGCTCCTAAATTTTTTAAATTAGGAGGACAAGCGCTCCTAAAAAGAAAAGTAAGCATAGAGACATGTGTATCAGTAGCCTATATTAGATCCGTGCATGACGGATGACCCCTACTTAATAAGAATAACATTCTGAAGTGTTGTGAAATACATGAAGACTATTTTATAGGCTTTATGGACAGATAAGTTGAGAGTGACTCTTGAAGGACCAGCATCTCATCCTCTTGTACCACTGTTAGAAGAATTTATCTTCCAGAATATGGCAGTAAGTTTTAGGAGCTCATTTTTGTCAGTCTCTGCAAGACTGAATTTTCAGGATAGGAGATGGGCTAAAAATGTACTCCCTAGGAGTTCTATGTAGAATTTGAAAACTAGGAGAAAAATTTAGAACTTGAAAAATTGGAAAAACAGCTTAGTAAAAAGCGTTTACAGTTTAAAAGCAAATAGAAAGTCCTATTTTTTTAAATTTATTTTCTTTCTTTTTTTCTGCAGATTTGCACATGTACAAGTTTTAAAATGTTCATAAAATATTTTCAAAAAATATTGTTGCTTTGAGCAGCTGCATTCCTCTAAATCAAAGATGAAAAAATGGGATTTATTTTCTTTCTTTTTTTCTGCAGATTTGCACATGTACAAGTTTTAAAATGTTCATAAAATATTTTCAAAAAATATTGTTGCTTTGAGCAGCTGCATTCCTCTAAATCAAAGATGAAAAAATAGGATTTACAATAAAAAGTCATTTACAAAATTATTTTGACTTGAGTTTATTTATTAATGAGTAACGTCTCTTTTGAGTGAATGTGCAAATGTTTAATGTTATCAGGTTTTACCATGTTATTACAACATTTAACCACTTTTTATTAATTTAAAAATTGAGAAATTCTTTCAAATTTAAATCTTGTACAAGAACTACAGCAAAACCAGTTTGATGCATATTTTATCAATATTTTAGAAATTGAATTTGAATATTACCAGTACTGACTTCAATGGATTTCATTAAATTCATTTGAACACTGCTCAAAACGGTCTAAATTTATGAAACCTACACATTCAAAACATTATTACTTTATTAAGTGTAAGTGAAATGTTAAGTACTGTAAGGTCTTTCATGAAACTACATATTCTGGAGTGTGAATTTGATAGGTGCTTGATATAAAATAAATGGTGCTTTAAAAAGTCCTTGAAAGTCCTTGAATCTGGTGTTCATGAAAGAGTGGGAACCCTGTCTTTGTGTTTGAGCTGCATTTGTGTGTTTGTGGACAAATGATAAAATGTCACATTTCTGCTTGCAGAGAGAAGAAAGAGTTACAGAAGATTCTGGACAGGAAGAGGGTGAACAGCATCATTGAGGCCAAGAAAGCAGAAAAGGACAAGGCTGAGGCGTGAGTAATGGCTTTTCTCATCTCAAGGACAGTGACAGTGACAGTCTAGGGTTAAAAGGTTAGTTTCCCCCCAGCAATGAAAATTCAGTCATAATTCACTCACCCTCTTGTCATTCCATACCCGTAAAACTTTCTCTTCTGCAGAACACAGAAGATATTTTAAAGAATGTTTGTAACAAGCATTTTTAGTGACCATTGACTTCCACTGTAGGGACATAAAAAACCTTATCTTCATTTGTGTTTTACAGAAGAAAGTAAGTGTTACAGGTTTGAAACAATATGAGGGTGAGTAAATGATTAATGAATTTTCATTTTTGGGCAAACGATACCTTTAAGTGGCTTGTCTCAGCAGCACAAAGGATTTATGATACCATGATAAATGAATGATAAATGCGATAGAAATATTAGTGACCTGTGAATGGATTGTAAAGAATGGACATTATCTGCCTTAAAGGGATAGTTCACCTAAAAATGAAAATTCTGTCATCATCATCCTGGCCCTCATGTCTCACTGTTGTTTTGGACCCCACTGACTTTCATTATATGGACAAATACAGTTATGTGCCCTAATGTTTTTTCTGAATTTTTTTAAAGACAATCCGACCTATATCTTAATCAGAGATGTTCTAAGATGCCTAGAGATGTCTTTAAAAGCAGCCATATTTCTCATTGTCCTATTATTGAAAGCTGCATTCCTCTAAATCAAAGATGAAAAAATAGGATTTACAATAAAAAGTCATTTACAAAATTATTTTGACTTGAGTTTATTTATTAATGAGTAACGTCTCTTTTGAGTGAATGTGCAAATGTTTAATGTTATCAGGTTTTACCATGTTATTACAACATTTAACCACTTTTTATTAATTTAAAAATTGAGAAATTCTTTCAAATTTAAATCTTGTACAAGAACTACAGCAAAACCAGTTTGATGCATATTTTATCAATATTTTAGAAATTGAATTTGAATATTACCAGTACTGACTTCAATGGATTTCATTAAATTCATTTGAACACTGCTCAAAACGGTCTAAATTTATGAAACCTACACATTCAAAACATTATTACTTTATTAAGTGTAAGTGAAATGTTAAGTACTGTAAGGTCTTTCATGAAACTACATATTCTGGAGTGTGAATTTGATAGGTGCTTGATATAAAATAAATGGTGCTTTAAAAAGTCCTTGAAAGTCCTTGAATCTGGTGTTCATGAAAGAGTGGGAACCCTGTCTTTGTGTTTGAGCTGCATTTGTGTGTTTGTGGACAAATGATAAAATGTCACATTTCTGCTTGCAGAGAGAAGAAAGAGTTACAGAAGATTCTGGACAGGAAGAGGGTGAACAGCATCATTGAGGCCAAGAAAGCAGAAAAGGACAAGGCTGAGGCGTGAGTAATGGCTTTTCTCATCTCAAGGACAGTGACAGTGACAGTCTAGGGTTAAAAGGTTAGTTTCCCCCCAGCAATGAAAATTCAGTCATAATTCACTCACCCTCTTGTCATTCCATACCCGTAAAACTTTCTCTTCTGCAGAACACAGAAGATATTTTAAAGAATGTTTGTAACAAGCATTTTTAGTGACCATTGACTTCCACTGTAGGGACATAAAAAACCTTATCTTCATTTGTGTTTTACAGAAGAAAGTAAGTGTTACAGGTTTGAAACAATATGAGGGTGAGTAAATGATTAATGAATTTTCATTTTTGGGCAAACGATACCTTTAAGTGGCTTGTCTCAGCAGCACAAAGGATTTATGATACCATGATAAATGAATGATAAATGCGATAGAAATATTAGTGACCTGTGAATGGATTGTAAAGAATGGACATTATCTGCCTTAAAGGGATAGTTCACCTAAAAATGAAAATTCTGTCATCATCATCCTGGCCCTCATGTCTCACTGTTGTTTTGGACCCCACTGACTTTCATTATATGGACAAATACAGTTATGTGCCCTAATGTTTTTTCTGAATTTTTTTAAAGACAATCCGACCTATATCTTAATCAGAGATGTTCTAAGATGCCTAGAGATGTCTTTAAAAGCAGCCATATTTCTCATTGTCCTATTATTGAAACCGTGTCAGGTAAAATGTAAGGGTAATCATAGAGAGAAATTAGACCATTTATGAATGTGCTGCTGAGGCTTATAAAGCTATTAACATCACTGGAGCCACTGGAGAGGCCAGCATTGCTCTGAGCACCTCGATGGTTATGTAAAAGGAACGTAACCTTCTGTCATTCTCTCACTCGGCAGGGAGCTGAATGAGATCAATACAAAACATATCCATGATTCGGTCACCTTAATCAGTCAGGTGAGTAGAGTTGTGGAAAAGTTTATGAATTTAGTGCCATTTGGATTTTTGTGTAAATGTATCTTTTTATACAATCTTGAGGCTTTACACCTTGTCCTAGTTAGGTGCCACTCATTGTTTCCATTGTGAGTTTTTTTAACAGTTTTTCCTGTCTGTACTGAGCACATAAAGGCCATGACACACTGAACCCACATCTAAGTACTAGCGGTGACGAAAGTGTAGGGTTGGCTCCATACCACAATTTCAGTACAATACTAGAATCTTTTTTTTTTTGTATCGATACCATATGTTACTAATAAGCAGCCTCTATTGGTAACGACTGAACTTGCGACCATAGTTGCTTTTGGAAAACGCACCCCTGATTGTCATTTATTGAATTGAATTGATTGTCACAAAATACTCAATTGCTCGAAAAGCCACCCAGGTGGGTCTAACTAGTTGCCAGCGTTGTGGGACAGGGACACAGCACAAAAACTACAGCGACAGACACTTAATGCTGCACAACATTTTCCGATCACCAATCATCAGCTTGGTGTGTAACGACAACAAAATCATAGCCAATCAGAAAATATCAGATGTTTCTATTTGTGTTTCAGTGCTGGGTAGCTCTGCCCTAGAGTGGTCCTACTCCACAAAGCTGTCTAGTAGACAAGCACTCAATAGAGTGTCTCGTCATTTTTGGACACAAACTCATCACTATTGTCCCACACCTTGTTAGGACAAAGTTTTTCTGAGCCATACCAAACAAAAGTTCAAATAAACAAGGTCAGTCTTCCTCATAAATTTCCTTAATTCTTTGTCTCTCTTTGTGTAGCTGGAAGTGTCTCAAGGGAAGCGTCAAGAGAACTTAAAAGTCCTTCACAAGGACATCCTTCAGAAAATAGAGGAGGAGGTTCCTATGGTCAGTCCATACACAGATTTATTCCACCTTCATTCCTGACATGCTAGTCCCAAATCATTGTCACATTATTTTCTTTTACTGATCAATTCCTCCTATTTAAGGCAAAACTTAAAAAGTATCCCTTACAGAAATGTACCAGTACCACAATAACTATATTTTCTGACAAAATACCATAGTTACAGGCGATATAATATTTGTGAGCTTGGATCATTTTTTTTTCTCCTCACTTCAAATGTTGAATGGCACTCTGAATCATCCTGTCTCTGTAGGATCAGGCCCGTCTGACACGCGACTGCGAGGCAGAGCTGAAGCTATTGCCAGAGGAGATCTCACAGTACCTGCAGGAGCTCGAGAGCAAAGGCTCTCGTAAAGACACTCTGATGGGTCAGGCCAATGACAGCCCCAGCTCCGGCCCCCCCTCTAACTGCAGCACGCCCCCTTATTCCTCCCCCAACCACAGCTGGAGCAGCATGGGCAATATCTCGCCCTCACTGCTGGACCCCTCCTCCACCTCAAACACTCCTGTCAAGTCAGAGACAGATACTACAGGAGTGTACTAGTGATACTACCATTTTTGTTTTTTTGTTTTCTTATCTCTCTCTCCAATCTATTTCTGTCCGCAGCGGATTTTAAGAGTAGATATAATATTGCTATAAGTTGTATGCATTTTTAGAGGAAGGGTTTTTTTGGGGGGTTTTTTTTGCTTACACTTTACCACTGTCTGTCTGAATCAACCCTGATGTCATTTTACTTTCTTTTTATTCAAATTCCTTTTTTAATCCATAACAGTGGATTTTATTTAGCTTTAATAATGTGGTCTCTCGCACATACTACCACCTGTAGGTAAGATGCCTGTGGAAACCAGAGGGATGGGGTTTTCTATTTATTTCTGATGTATATTGTGCACTTTGCAGCTTTATGTGTAGTGCAGTGAGTTGTCCTGAAGGAGGCAGTGTAAATTTGGCAGTAATCTAGGCTCATGCTTAGACTAGAAGGTACGTGTTTATAAAATAATGCCCAAATGGACGGTTGCTTATACACCCCCCAACACAATTCATTTCACAGCGACGAAACATCCTGTCTTGTGAATGTTGATCGGGTCCCGAGCACGCTGTCTGAAAAATGTGCAAAAATTTCACTGCTTGCCACTTTGGCAGTACCCTTAAGGGACAACTTTGTACCTATCTACCCCTAAAAAGTGCATATTAGTACTTCAGAGTAGTAATATGTACCCTTAAAGTAATAACTTTCAGGGCTTAATAAGGTACCAAGTTGTTAATTTAAGGGGAATGTCCCAGTGGCAAGCTGCTGTAGGTGTAAAGATACAATTTCTGCACATTTTTTTCTTAAAAGTGTATATTGTGTTTATGTCCAAAGACACTTAAATGTTTAAGTGCCTCACATTTACATGTACTTCGCTTGAACTCTCTCACCCAGTTAATGCTTTCTAAAATCCCATAATCCCACTCGCTGTCTTTCCCGTACCTCCCCCGTATCTGTCTCTCTGTCGGTTGGCTTAATCTAATCTAATCCAGAATCTGTGTAATTGGCAGTGATCCCGCATCTCACACTGTCTGAAATCCAGTGATGTCTAGGAAACTTCGTGCACCACCATTTTATTTTTGGCCAAACCCTGCTGAATCTACCCGCGTTCTCGCTGCAGTTTCACGTCACATCCCGTCTCAGGAACGCTGCACACAAATCCCATGTCTGGTTTATCAAGGTCTATTCAGAGTCATGTTGCGTAATATGCAACAAAGCAAAGCATATAAGATGAGTTTTTAATGTGAGATTGAAGCAAGACTTTTACAGCTTAGCTCTGATCACCACAATCCAGGGCTTTTTTAATCCATTAGAATGTATGATGGTTGGATTTTGCTTTCTCGTACTGTAATCTGGTTGCTGTAACCCCCATCCCCCCCCGTACACACACACACACACACTTCCTTTTTACTTTAATATATTTGGTCAGTTTTTTGGTTCTATGTCCAAGTGTGTCTTTTCCCCAACTTTTTTTTTCATTCTCTTTGTGTCTCTCAGGGCTCTGTGGCTCAATATTATTAAGGCAGTTGGAGTTGAGCGAGCATCATTCACATTGGTGTGCTTGGTGCTTTATGATCTTGATGGAAGCACTTTGAGAAAGACAATGATTACAGCACTTATGATTATCAAACAATTACATTTGCTGAGCGAGTAACCTAATATGCATCATGGACATGACAGTTCTTCTCCATGCTTGGATGATAATATTTCCTAGTGTGATTTACAAAGTGTGTGTTTGTATGTATGTATGTATGTGTGAGGTAAGCGCTGGCTGTGAGAATGGATACTGCACAGTAGAGTTTAGAAAGCCAGAAGGCAAAAGGGCTCAAGTCAGATCTTTTGCTATGAGAAGTGAGCATTAATGGTTTGCGTGAGTTTATATGACTCAGCCCATATAATGTGTTCATATGTTAAGTTGACAGCTTTATATACCCATATGAACAGGGATAAACGGTACTTGCATGTCAACATTTCCTCTCTCCATGTCTCATTATCTTTGAAGAGGGATATTAGTGTTGTACATACTACCAGGAAATATTAATGTGTATTTCAGTCGAAACCACATGTGTTTATATCGATTTACGTAATTAATTCAACTACTGACTAGAGAAGAAGTTGAGGGTGACGTCTGTCTTTTTGTTTGCGTCTTAGGCTGGTTTAGTGTCCCAACAACACACACACACACTATACAGTCATCCTAAGCACCATCTTCTGCTGCCTGTCTGGCATTTTATTTCTTGGTTAAAATGCAGAGCAGGTGTTTTTTTTTTTTTTTTTTTGAGAACACCAAATGCTTTATTGCCCTTTTTTTTTTTTTTTTTCTTGACACTTTATGATTGTCTTGTTCTTTACAGTGGCATGATCCTATATTGTGCCTATGTAATATCACATTATGGTTCTCTTGTGTGTATTGACGGTAGTAATGGTTGAATGGCGCTATTTTATCATTTAAAAAAAAACACCATTTCCTTTTTTGAAATGATGTGATTTAGAAACCCATTTTTTTAGTGTCTTAAAATGGGACAAAATTCAGTTTCAGGTTCTGATTTTGTATTTTGTTTTGATTTTAGCACCTTTTATTAATGCTTCTGCAAAGCATGTTCTGTAAATTGAGTTTGTTGTTGGTACAGGGTTTTTTTTTTTTTTAAAGCAAGACATTAGCTCATTTCAGTCTATAATCGGACATCCTCAGGGGACAAGCCAGGCTGGTCCATCACACATGTGGGCCAAAGTGAGTGATGCTGGCGTGTGTACTGAAATCAGTGAAGACTGCAGTCAGACTTTAAGGGACAAAACATGCTTACCTAAGGGCTAACTTCTGCTCGGCCTCAGTTACAGCTTTAACCAAGTACATATCTCTCAGTTTTGTGAGTTCAGTTTCTCTCTCTCTCTTTCTGCATGTGTCTCTTTATCACCTTTCTACTGAAACACTCCTTTGTTAACACTGTATGTAGATAGTGTACTGGTCTGCCTTGTTTAAAGGGAAAATTATTACTCTGGATGTAATTTTTACAATTTCAATAAATAATATAACTGTACATTCAATAAATACATGACATTGTCAAAAATGTTTTGCTTGGGCTTCCCTTTTTCAGTTCTCCTTTTTATAGGATGTGAACAAGTTTTCAGATTGTGAAATGGTGGTGTTCTTTCATGAAATACGTCAAGTGATTACGTGACATGATGAAGGTGTGCGAGACATCTTCAAATATGAAAAACTTTTATTACTAGATCCTTCTAAATATTTTCTAGAGTGGAAATAAAAAAATAGCAATTTTCCTGTGACCAGTAATATTTATATAGTATTTTAGTATTTATTATTTTATTTGAAATGTAAATTAATTTATAATTTTATGTGCTTTTGCCATTTTTATTAGTTTATATATATATATATGTATATATATAATGTATTTTTTAAAGTATGTTATTGAAGATCCTATAGTAATGTAATCATCCTATAGTAATGTAAACTTATGAATGGGGTAATTTTTTATAAATTCAGTTATTACAATTTTCACGAATGTTCTTTTGTTAAAATTATTAACATTTTGCATATTCTGCGAGGGTTATGTGAACTTATAAACAGAACTGTAGTTGGCAAGGCTATAGTTGTAATTTTCATGTACTTTGAGTTCAAGTTTTTAATATATTTTTATTTTGTTTAACTGATGATTTTTGATAGTTTTAGATTAAGTTTTAGTTAATGATACAGAAAGTTTTACTTTCATGTAAAAAATGCATGGTTATGCGAATATGGTGGTCACACTTTAGTTTGGGGACCAATTCTCACTATTAACTATGACTTCTGCTTCAATAAACTCCTAATTTGCTGCTTATTAATAGTTAGTAAGGTAGTTGATAAGTGTAGGTACGGGGTGGATTAAGGGGTCTAAAATATGGTCATGCAGAATAAGGCATTAGTATGTGTTTTTTAAGTAAAGGCTGCTACTAATAAACAAAAATATGCTATATGCATGCTAATAAGCAAGTTAATAATGAGAATTGGTCCCTAAACTAAAGTGCTACCATGAATTTTTAGTATTTAGTATTTTTAGTGTAATTATTATTTGTGTCTAAGGCTGGGGTTATTGGGTTATAAGCAGTGATGCATTACAAGTAACGCAAGTTACGTAATCAGATTACTTTTTTTAAGTAACTAGTAAAGTAACGCATTACTTTTTCATTTAGAAGGAAATATCTGAGTTGCTTTTTCAAATAAGTAACTCCAGTTACTTTGTTTCCATGTATTGACTGACAGCTCTGGTGTTGCCATGTTGAGAGAAATCAGGAGTAAGTGCAGAACATTGTGTGTGAACATGATCTTACTGTAGTTCTAGACTAAATATGAACATGTTTACTCGTCTCACCTGCACAAAAACAGATTCAGTATTCCTCAAAATGAATAAAAACAGTCAAATGCAAACTCAGAATATTATACGAACCTGCAATAATTATGTTAAATAAGACAAATATAATTTATGTATTTAATCCCATTTTATTAACCAGTGTCTTTGCTACTGACTTTCGATGATCCAATTTAACCATACTTATAATCAAAAATGTTATTGGTTAGTTATTGCTGAATAGTGTTGAACTTTCTTCTCCTGCGTCATATTCTTCATGCGATTTGTTTGCGCTGCGCCCTCTACTGTACAGACGTGAATTTACATTTCCTTCAGCCTGAGGTGTATTAATTTCTCTTATGTTTGTAAAAGAATAACTTTTTTTATATTAAAAACAAACAAGCAAGCCCTGCCCAGATTTAAAAAGTAACTAAAAAGTAACGTAATGCATTACTTTCCATAAAAAGTAACTAAGTAACGTAATTAGTTACTTTTTTTAGGGAGTAACGCAATATTATAATGCATTACTTTTAAAAGTAACTTTCCCCAACACTGGTTATGAGTGATGTTGTGAGTCAAGTTTTGAACCCAAGACCTGGGACAAATATGTAAATTGTCTAAACAATGTAAAGCACAACACCTTTGGAAAATGTGCTGTTTGGTCATTTTTGACCGAAAAACGTTATTTTTTTTCATCGGAATATTACGAAACTTAGTAAAGGTTTTGGCACTTGCCAAGTTTGCCACGTCCTGAAAACTGAAGCCAAAATAATTTGATCA